CCCTCAGCTGATAAGTGGACAGAGTAAGTTCCCCATCGCTGCTCAAGTGGTAATACCATACAAATAAGTAAGAATACACATGGCAATACCCAAACACAGCTATGCTTTTACTATTCAAACAATTATCAGTAAAGGGACAAGCACAGCCCTTTTTCTGCAAAGCCTGAATAAATGAGCTCTGGGTAGGAAATTCAGAAGAGACTTGAAGGGAAATAAATTCTGCAGTTAATCATTCATCTTGGAGTGGAGTGACTGCTGAGCAGCTCTGCTGCCCGCTGTAAAGCCTTTCAGCTGTCATAATTACTACATGGTGTTAGACCCATGAGTCTGTACAGCTCTAGTTTTGCTGGTCATGTCCCTGGCTTGCACCATTTGACTGAATTTTCCCTAGTCCAGCCACATGGAGAAAGGCACTGAGGATTACCACAGTACAGCACTGTCCGTATTACCACAGAATACCCTGTCCGTATCCTGATTTGTACCTCTTCCTTTTTTCTCCCTCCCCACAGCTAGCTGTGTTCAACATCTAGCATGACATTTCCCTTTAGGATATTATCATGAACAAGCGAAGATTAGCTATGGAAACTGCGAGCATGATAAGAACACTATACAAGTGAATATTACCTCAGCAACATGAACTTAATTATTTTGATAACATTGGAAAGGTTACTTCTCCACTTTTGAAGAGACAAGCTCTGTATATTTTTAAAAGGCAAAACTTATACCCATAACCAGAAAGCTTTGGTCTGCTCTTCAATACAGTATATAAAAGGTTTATGGATTTCATCAAAACTGATTAGTTTACTGTCTAGACCACAGATTATTTTTCATAAGATTTCTTGTCATATCTGTGAGCCATTCTTGTAATGATGGATGAGACTGATGCTTTAAAATCATCATTTTCTCTGTCAGCAGGGAAACCCACTGAACCCTGTCAGATGGAATATCACCTCCTCCCCTGTAGCCTTGCAATGTAAGGGCATAATCCATTCTCACAGGGGTATACAGGAGTCGTGGCCTGAACCTAGACATAACTAAAGGATTGTTATTCGGGGGAAGAATATGAATTATACAGTTATTACAGGAGTTTTAAACTTTTGCTTGGAGAAGCTGAAATTGCTACTGAGACATTGTACCAACCACTGTCTTTGACATTCATATCAAAGCTGGTGATTTTGGCCCTTCTGAGGAATGGGATTCCTAGAAACGATGTCTGTCATTATTAGTTTTATTCTCTCATAAAATGAGGACTATGGATCATGTGAAGGCGTAAGTGTCAAGTAAAATCTATGTTCAGTTTGCAAAGAAGTGAAATTGTATACCTTCTATAATTTCAGGCCAAATGTTAGAGCTTAGCATGCCAGACAGTCGATTCTATGCACACAAATAAATCACAGTTTATATATGTATGGCCCTTGAAACACATTTTTCTGCAGTTATAGAGAGAAGGAATCCAACTGTACATGAGATGGGAAAATCAACTATATGTAATCATTCTCTTCTGCAGTAGAATTAAAGACACTTACAATAATGGACTAGGCAGAACTAGGAGTAAACCACTGCCAAAGGTATCAACAATTTTCACTTTTACCGTTTATCACTTAGAAAAATCTGCTTGCTGCTTCTATATTCCTCTATATGATTTCAGAGAGAAAAATTAAATATGCTGCTTCACATTTCATTTTTAACAGTTAATTGCTGCATAAACACATAGCATAAAGAAAAGCACAGACATTTTATAAAACTAGAATCGTTCTGAAATATTCACTTGCCTCTTTATTTACATTTCTTATGCAGCAGATACATCTGAAAGACCTGCTCTGAAGTGATTCTTTCTAAAGTAAGGCAAAGTTAAATTTGCCTAGAGAGGGTCTGAACCAGAAGTTTAAACTCCTCATCACTTTGAAGGCAATAGAACTGACGTTTATTGCTGTGCCATGCCGAACTACAGCCCCACCTCTGATTAACTAAAGACTATATGGCAGATGGATGCTTTAATAGCCTTCCCCAGAGCCTTCCAGTGCACATCATTTTGTCTGTTTAGATGATAAACTCCTGGAAAGGCCTGGACCTGTACATTTTTCTGTGTTATCTGCAGCTCTACTCTTTACGGTGTTTAAAATGATCGTCATGATTAATCCACAGATAAACTACCCTAAGGAAGCCAATGTAGCCTGCCCTGCAAGAGCATGGCCTCAAATGTGGCATAAATACCATTTGCTCCCCGTTATTTACAGTGCCTATTATGGTTCCCCAGGGAGCCATGTGTCCAACGCCTAATTCATGGGTCACGGAGGGGAGATGAGCACCGACTTCATTGGACTGTGAATTAGGCCACTGATAGGTAACACCCCCAAAGCCTGCAGGCTGATGTTATATATGTGTATATATATACCTCTGTGCCTCCCACAACATTCACCCGTGTTATCAGGC